GAGCGTCACCTTTCAGGGCCTCGTGTTCCTCACAGAGTTAGTAGAATTCACCTCTGATGTTTATGAGCCTCAGGGAGGTAAAGTTATTGTGCCCAGGTTACCTCCTTGAGCCTGAGTGTCCTCTGTAAAATGAGAGGAGTAATAGAGCCCACCTCGAGTTGATGGGAAGATCGGGGGATTAATGACACAGCTTGGATGTGGGACACCCTTAAAAAAGGGCCATGCCGGGCCTTCCCTGGTGGCGCAGCGGGTTAAAGCACAGCACTAAGAAGCTAAAGCCACCTCCTCATGAGTTCGATTCCCGCCTGCCCCAGAGGAGATCCACATGCCGACACAGACCTCTCCTGACCCACCTGCTGCTCCCCTCAGCAGTGTACTTTGTCAATCTGCCTGTTCTGCTCCCCTCTCTGTCTCTGGTGAATCCTCTCACCCTCCACATCTCTGCCCTGAATCCCAGTTCCATAGGAATAAATAAATAAATCTTTAAAAAAAAAAAAAATGGCCATGCCCCTCCCTGGGGGCGCAGCGGGTTAAAGCACAGCACTGAGAATCTAAAGTCGCTTCCGCATGAGTTCAAATCCCTCCTGCCCCGGAGGAGACCACATGGCGCGGCAGACCTCTCCTGACCCGCCCGCTGCTCCCCTCAGCAGTGTACTTCGTCGATCTGCCTGTTCTGCTCCCCACTCTGTCTCTGGTGAAGCCTCTCGCCGCCCCTGAGCCTCTGGCCTGTATGAACAAATAAATAAATCTTTTAAAAAAAAGGCCACTGCTAGTTGTCCGTGAATCCAATGGGGTAGCTCTGCTGTCCTTACTTGACAGAAGAGAGTTAGTTGCTCTGGGCCTTGTTCCTGAGGTCTTAGAAATGGGGTTCGAGTGTAGAACACGCCCTAGGCTTGCCTTCTTCCCACATTGTCTTGCCACAGAGCTGACCTCCCCCCGGCCCCCAGCCAAACCCACCAGGCACGTCCCCTGGCCCTGCGTCTTAGCGCGCTGTTTTTTTCCCTCCACTGTGCAGCCGAGTTACAGCCAGCCGCCGTACAACCAGGGGGGCTACAGCCAGGGCTACACGGCCCCGCCGCCTCCCCCGCCCCCACCGCCCGCCTACAACTACGGGAGCTACGGTGGCTACAACCCGGCCCCCTACACCCCACCGCCACCGCCCGCCGCACAGACCTACCCCCAGCCCAGCTACAACCAGTATCAGCAGGTAAGTGCCAGACTGGGAGCCAGAGGGACGGAGACTGCCAGGGTCCCCATGTAAGTGTGTGTCCCCGGATGAGTCCCCGCAGGCCACCCTTAAAAAAATAGCAACTTGCCTGTTGCTGTGGGCACGGCCATCCCGTTTCCGCACTGGCTGCCTGCGCGCTGGTGTCCTGGCCTGTCTCCGCTGGGCCGCGAGCCCTGGGCAAACTGGGCTGCCGATCTGCTGCGGCACGTGGCGAGTGTCTGCTCGGCTTGCAGGCGCTCCGGCTACCACACCTGTTCTGGTGTTTGAGTGTGGTATGTACCTACTCCACAGGCACCAGGTGGGCAGCCACGAGGCCAGGGCCTCACGGCTAGCTGCCCACATCCTGAGCCCGCCCCCAGGAGCCCCGTATGCCTGCTGCCGGCACCGCGCCGGTCTCTGCCCTGGCGGTTGGGGGAGGAGCTGCCCCTCTGTCTGAAGGCCAACCTCTGCTCTTGCTTTCTCTCCCAGTATGCCCAGCAGTGGAACCAGTACTACCAGAACCAGGGCCAGTGGCCCCCGTACTACGGCAACTACGACTACGGGAGTTACTCCGGGAGCACCCAAGGGGGCGCGAGCACCCAGTAGCCGCCCGCGGCCCAGGCCCTGCCGCTTCCGCCACCAGCGCCCATCTCGGCCCTCTCGTCCGCCCCACCGGGTCCCTTGGTGCTGGGGAACAGGGTCATCCCAGGGCTGCCTCGCTCCGGCCCGCTGTCTCCCTCTGAGGGGCTTCTTCCCCGCTCCGGGCCAGGCGTTTTTCTCTGGATTCAAACAGGCAACAATGACCTTTTATTTTCTTTTTGTCTCCCACCTCCCTCCTCCACCTCTTCCTTCTCTTCTCCTTTTTGAGTAAAGAAACCCGCCCCTTGGCCATACCGCAAGGCTGCAGTGGCCAGGGGAAGGCCCTTCCTGCCCACTTGCCCAGCTCTAGCCCCTCAGCTTCCCAGATCTTCATGCAGTTGGTTGTAAATTCTTCCAAGAGCTGTTTTTCTGTCTACTTTTCAGGATTTAAAAAAAATCAAAAAGTTTAAAAAAAAAAAAAAGTTTAAAAAGCAAAATGTGGAGGGAGGAAGCATTGACAGATTTTTTTTTGGGTAATTATGCTTTTTTTTAATTTTTAGAATTTGTCCATTTTTACTGTGGGTCAGCTGTTGGTATGTCATCAAGATAACCATTTCTTTGCTTAGTTCAGGTGACCCAGGAAGAGCCACACCCTCAAAAAAACCACATAAAACGAAACCACAGAATCATCTGAACCTGACTTTTTATACGACTTCTCAGTTTCCCATAACTTTGCACACAAGCTTCTGTGTTGAGTTGAATTGTAACTGCTTTTTGTATTTGGAGAGAGTGTGACTATTGAACTTGAAACCTTTTATTCCAGGCGTCTTGGTAGTTTCTGGTGGGATTGAACACATGAGAGGGGCTGAGGGCGGTGGGCGCCTGCCCTGCGGCACAGGAGGTGTCTCCGCGGCCTCACCTCCAGCTCCCAGGTGCCGACCTCAGAGTTCGCCTCCAGTGATCCTTTGATTATTTTTACTTCCCCTCGACCCTTATGTTTTAACATGATTTTAACAAGCTGCACTTACGAAGAAATGTGTTTGCCCTGTTTTGTTTTGTTTTCTTTCAATAAATGACATGGCACCTCCTAGCAGGAAGGAAGCAGGGGTGAAGTCCTGAAGTGTTACTGCACTTGGCCTTTAACTGGGGCGGGATCTTTCCAAGAAGATGTTACTTGCTCCTTCATTAAACACTTCCTGAGGGATTCACGTGCCTGGCCCCATTTTTAGTGCTGGGATACCTCCTGAAGCGCAGACCCTCAGTTTAAAATCCAGGAGTTCATTTTTAAATGGTTCTGGTCCCTGGCTTCGCCTCAGTCCTGAATCCCTCTGAGAACTTGTGAGTAGAGACCATGGCAGATCACCAGATTGAGGCGAGGTAGACAACAGGGCGGAGACTGGGGCTGATCTGTGAGGGGTGATGGGGCAGCTGCCCTCCCGCCCGCTGCAGGCCACACCTGCAGCACTTGGGGTGGTCCCTGTGGTGTTCCAAGTCTAGGTGGGACACCTGGGAGCTGCTTTACCCACCTAGTATGTGCTAGGTATTTGTTCTGTCCCCACGCTTTTGGGGGCACTGGGACAACATGGGAAGGCAGTCCTGGACCCTGTTCTCACAGGACACCCAGTTCACGGGGAACAGGCCTGTCAGACATCAGTTGCCAAATAATCAGCTGTGAGCCTGGTGGGGTGTGGTGAGGACAGGGCTCCGTGAAGGAGGGGGAAAGCGAGTAAGAGTGAAGGACATCATCATCTTTGCTGAGCAATTCTGCAATTCCTTCATCCTGTCTAGATAGTTGTGTTCCTGGCCTTTCATGAGGGATATCCCAGGTCAGCGCCAAGACCGTATTTCACAGGATAGAAGCTCAGGCTGCGGAAAAGGAGAAGGCCAACTAGTTTTGAGATCAGGGGTGTGAAGTTGGATGTCAGCGGCCAGTATTGGTGGCTAGTTGGGCTAGAAGGGGCCCCAGAGTGCCCCCTAACTGCCCTGGCCACTCTGGCCAAAGTCCTGGCTCCATTCATCCATACGTTGGGCAACAGCACCCTCTGCTGGTCTCTCCTGGTAAGACTCGTCCTCGGGTGCTGTGTGTGAGACCGTAAGCCTGGGCCTCTTCAGTCCAGAGGCTTATCCTGGGAACGCAAGCTGGGAGGCGTCACCTCCGCCTGGTCGCAATGCTGCGTGTGTGCCATTACCTTACCTTTGCCATCAGGATAAAGAAGCTCTGCATGTCCAGCCGCGGGTACTCTCAAGGACTTTTTACTTCAAATTTCACATCAGTGTTTCTCTTTTCTGAGGGAGTTACAGATTGCTTTGCGGGTCTATAAGGAAATGCCAGGAACCTCTACTTTGGGAAATGTGCATGGTGATAGGCAATGAGGTTTGCAAACCTCTGCAGCTGACCCTGGTCTTCAAGTTGGATATATGGTCTTATTCCCTGACCACTCTGAATCCTTGCAGCACCACGATGATAAGTGCCTTCCTGCCCCTCTGAGTCTTTGCCTCACCCATCCGGAAATCCTCCCCTCACTGCCTCTTAATTCACACTCCTCCTAGGCCTTGACTGGGTCGTGCATGCCCTACCTTGACACTCCAGGCTGGGAAAAGCAGCTCCCTTCGCTCCCTGGATCAGAGAGTCCTAGTCACACAGACTGGTCGCTGCTGACATGCTGTCATTGGTAACATCAGCATGACCCACTTACACTTCACCTATGACAAATCGGGACCACAGATGTTTTCCTACACAGTTTCCTATTCTACAGCCCCTGGAAACAAAGTGAGGGCGGGAGGGGTTCTAGCTCCGATCCTCAGGACCCTTATCATGCTAAGCAGAAGCTGGGTGACATGATAGCCAAGTGTCATGGTTTAGTAAATACTCTTTGAAGTGGTGAGTACATGAAGAGGATTTAAACTAGAATCTAACCAGAAGGCACACCCTCTAGAGGCCGTTGAGGGTGGTCGTTCAGCCATCCTTCCCACAGTAAATATGCCCGCCTCTGGAGTCACAGCCGTGAGTAGTGAGTCCGATTGCTTCTGACTCCAAACTCACTCAGATGGTGGGGGCGGAAGGGCACCATAGAGCCCTATTCCTGGCTCTGAGGGTGGGGACCAAGCGCAGGGTCGCCAGCGCCATGGGAGGTCTACGTTCGACCCGGAACTTTGGTTCTGGGTGCGGCGCGCAACCCGGACTCGGAAGTGTACTGAACCGGAAGCGGCTGCTCAGCGTGGGCCTGGGGTTGGCGTGGTGACCCAGCGGCGGCGGTTAATAAGACCTAAAGAATTAGGATGGAGGCCGTGGCGACCGCGGCGGCGGCGGCGGCCACGGCAGCGAAGGAACCCGATGAAGGTGCGGCCCTTGCCACGCGGAGGCGGCGGGAGGGTGAGCCTGCGGTGTCACGGGGAAATGGCTCCCCGTGAATGCGGAGGACTCTTTATAGGGGGACACCTGCCCTGGGCCGCACCTGTCCAGTCCCCCTTCCCCGAAATTAACCTCTTCCAAGTTCAGGCCAGCTCTTCTCAGGTCGCTGGCGAAGCCGTTTCCTTACAGACTGATACTCAGGTTAACTTGAGTCTGCCTCCGGGCTAACTCTCCCTTTGTCCCCTGCGGCCAGCCCTGCTTCTCGTTACTTCCGTGTACCCAACTGACCCTCCTGTTCCATGCAGATTCCTGGTACTGGGCCAACAGCTCCCCCATTTCATCTCCATTCCCCTTCCCTGAAGACCCTAAGGGCCCTCTAAGAGGCTCTCATCCGCTTCTGTGCACCCCCATGTCTCTCCCTTGCATTCTCAGTCTGTTTGTCCTGATGGTGCCTTCTTACCGGTTTCTAAAATGTTTTTGTTTCACTCATCTTGAAATTCATCCCGCTGCTTTAGCGTAAACCCATGTGGGGTGAGGTTTGGTTGAGAGATTGGCGGAAACATCACGGGCCAAGAATTAATAATTGTCTAAGCTGAATAATGAAAGTGTGGGAGTGAGGGGGGTGATTGTAATACCTTTTGTGTATGTTTGAAATTTTTCCATAATAAAAAGTGGTTGTTTTTTTTTTAACCTAAATTGAAACATCTATCGCTTGATTCCTGCAGCCTTCTAGACACCATCCATTTTCTCCAGAGTCATCCGTGCTTGTCTGTTTCTTCACCTTCTACCTACTGTAGTCTGGCTTTTACCTTCAGAAACTGCTGTTCAGTGTCCCCAGTCACCTTCTCTGAGAAGTTAAACCAAGTTACAGCATTCAGTATCTTTTTTTTTTTTTAAGATTTATTTGTTGATGCATACAGAACTGGGGTACAGGCGGTGAGAGGATTCACCAGAGACACAGCGGGGAGCAGAACAGGCAGATTGACGAAGTCCACTGCTGAGGGGAAGGGCGCTTTCAGGAGTGGCCATGTGGGTCACTCCCTGGCCGGGGATCGAAATGCTGTAGTGGCCGCAGTAGCTTCACAGTGCTGCGCTTTAATCTGTTGCGCCACTGGGAGGGCCCACATTCAGCTGTTTCATACTTGTTTACTTGGAGAACTCCATGCCTTTGACCATCCTCTGTCCTTGCAAATTTTCCCTTGGTGTCTATGACATCCTCTGATATTCTCTCAGGCTCCTTCACAGTCTCAATTTGTTTTAAGGGTTCTGTAGCAAATTTCCACTGGGTGATTTAAAACAATATAAAGTTGGGGCCTCCCTGGTGGTGCAGGTGTTAAATTCACCCATCCCGCCTTCCTTGCCCCAGGGTAACCTCTGCATTTCCTCCCAAACCTGTCCCTGGTCCCTGTCAAAGAGCCAGAGCCCTGAACCCAAATTGGGTATGTCCCTCACCTCCCGCCCTCCAGCCGCCTGGCTTGTCCATTCTGCCGCCTGAGCACTTCTGACCAGCCCTGCCCTCCCGTGCCCTCCTTCACAGCCTGCCCTGTCCAGCTCAGATTCCTCTTGTCTCAGAGATGGAACCCCATTCCACCTGTAACCATCAGCCTTCCCAGCCAAGCCTCCCGTGGGATGTCTGTACTTTGTCTTCTCTTATTTCTTGCCTCCATTCCACCACTTTCGGGACACAGCTCGCCCTCACATTTGCCACGCACAGCTCCGCTCAGCAGGGCCCGTGTGGTTTTGACCTTGCCCTTCTCCCCCTGGGAGTGGACGCTCCCTGAGGGCACCAACTGGATTAGATTTCCCCGTGGGTCCTCAGCATCGCCCAGCTCAGGCCCTTGAAGAGATTCAGAGTAGGAGATGAATAACCGAACAAGCGAGTGAGTGTCTCAGTGATTTTTGTGAGCGAGTAAAGGGCCAGAAATGGAGAGAATCCGTGAGCGAGATGGTGAAGGATAAGTAAACACAGACACACTCCTGCCTCGGGGCGTTGCCCTGACTGAGCTCTCAGCCTGTGACTCTCTTCCCTCTGAAGACTCAGGGCTCAGCCCACTTCAGGTCTCTAGTGAAACGCCACTGTTCTGCCCAGGCTGTTCCTCTCTCACTTAACTCGGGGCTCCCCCTCTCCATTCGCGTTCCTGCTTTATTTATCTTTCCATGCAGATCTAGGAGCCACCTAAAACCCAGTTGTCAGTAACTATGTTTTTAATTCTCTTATATCGTGCCCCCTACTGAAATACCAGCTTCTGGCTTACTGTGATCTCTTTGGGGCCTAGAAATTACTCGAGTTTAGTGCTAGCTCGTAAACACGCAGTCACCGAGAGACAGCCCTGGTCGAGGCCCTTCCTGACTTTCACCCTGGACTAAAACGACCTCCCCTTCCCCCCCAGACTGCACGGAGCCCAGGACTGGGCACTGGGGAGAGCTAATCCAGACACCTTCCAGGCCCCAGGGGCAGAGGACAGCCACCGAGGCAGTGCCGAAGGCCCTGGACGCCGACTGCCCCGGGGCTGAAGACGCAGCCGTGACCGCCATGCTGCGCGCGGTGGCAGCCGGCCGCCTGCCCGTGTGCAGCCAGCAGCAGGGCGAGCCTGACCTGACCGAGCGGGAGAAGGTGGCCATCCTCAGCCAGCTGTACCACGAGAAGCCGCTGGTGTTTCTGGAGCGTTTCCGCACAAGCCTCCGCGAGGAACACCTGGCCTGCTTCGGCCACTTGCGTGGCGACCACCGCGCAGACTTCTACTGTGCCGAGGTGGCCAGGCAGGGCTCTGCCCGGCCCCGCGCCCTGCGCACGCGCCTGCGCAACCGGCGCTACGCGGCCCTGCGCGAGCTCATCCAAGGTGCGCCGGTGGGTGGGCGGAAACGGCCCTGGGACGGGAGACTAGGAGCAGGAGAGAAGGGTCAGCCCGGCTGGCGGGCACAGAAG